GATGGACGCGAGCAAGTCGATCAAGTGGGGGATGGACGCGAGCAAGTCGATCAAGTGGGAGGTGGCCCAGAAAGTAAATTAAGAGGTGGTTGAGCGAAGAAGTATTAAGCATATGCTCGTTTACCGCTACATCAGTCCGAATACTCGCAGGTCGTCACAAGAGTTGTTATTGTTTATTTTTTTACATGTCCTCGCAGTGTCTCTCCTGCTCATATGGCGATTGTATGGTATGGTAATGCAATGTTTCCAAAAACTTTCATCAATTGATTAAGATATTATAGGGCATATCTCTCATGGAGAACGGTTATCTTGAGACCTGATCACTCTTCGAAGAGGTGTTAGATTCATCTGACACGGCAGCATTTGGGAATCTGATTTCACATTTTCTTGGTGTGCTAATAGAGAGCTCTCAAATATAATTTGTTTTTGTGTATACACATTTTAAGAGGAATTGCTTTAAGGTTATATTATTGTGTGATTCGATAATATTTCATTTATGCAACAATAGTTGCCTTGAATTTTGCCACAACCCTCGTATATTGATGATTCTCTTGTAATAAATAGAAAAAATTAAAAGGAAACGAAATCTTTTTGTATTTTTTGTCACAAAGAACACACAAAAACGAGAGTACTCTCAATAGAAATAAATGTAGGAAAGAAAACTTCCTGGTTTTTTTTACTATTCAATTTTCCAGGATGTCAAATCTAACACAATTTAATACCAAAAGAGAGGTACGCTATAACTACTGAGAAATGTATAATGTGGGAATGTAATAACTATAAAATCTAATGTACAATGTTATCTGTATGCATTAATATTATGTGTAAGTTGCTCTTAAGGGCGAAGTTGATGAGAATCAAAACGAAATTAAATCTACCGAACTGTGCTGACAGTTGTTGTTTATTACTAAATAATTGAGCAACCTTATAGCGACCCGATGCAGTTGAAGTTTTTGGTAATGGTAACACCCCATTTGAAAAACCTCTGGGTAGCTAATGATTCAACTAAAAGCAAAAAACGTAAAAATGTGGATACTGCCCCAGTTGCGCTTAACAATTGAATCGAGAGAATACAATAAATTATTTTACAGATAGTATATACATTTTACAGTATAGTATCATCATCAGCAGCAGCAACAACAACAACAAGGTTTGGGCCTACTGGCCCGTTCCGCTCTCAAGAGTCTCTTTTCATCTTCTTTGGGTCTGCCCCTGGGTCGTTTCCCCTTTGGTTTGTATTCGAGGATAGTCTTGGGTAGCCGTTCTTGTGGCATTCTGGT